CTCGAACTCCTAACCTCATGATCCGCCCACATTGGCCTCCCAAAGTGCAGGGATTACAGGCGCGAGCTACTGTGCCTTGACTTATCCTTTTTTATTTTTATGGTTTAAAGTATGTTTTTTTTTTCCTGATATAAGAATAGCATTTGCTACTCTTTTGTTTCTGTTTTCTGTTTTCATGGTAGAATGGTAGATCTTTCTCCATCCTTCTACTTTGAGCCCATGGGTGTTGTTACATGTAAGATGGGTCTCTTGAAGACAACAGATGGCTGAATCTTATCTTTTTATCCAGACTGCTATTCTGTTTCTTTTAAGGCAAAGATATCCCTCTCACCTCTCTTATTCAACATCATCCTAGAAGTCCTAGCCAGAGCAATCAAACAAGAGAAAGAAATAAAAGGCATCCGACAAGGAAAAGAAGAAGTTAAACTATCTCTCTTTACTTGCAATATGACTCTGTGTCTAGAGCGACTCTGCTAAAAAGGCTCCTAGATTTGATAAACAACTTTAGTAAAGTTTCAGGATGTAAAGTTAATATACAAAAATCAATAGTATTTTATACACCAGCAACTTTCAGGATGAGATTGAAATCAAGAACATAATCCCACTTATAATAGCCACAAAGAAAATAAAATATACCTAGGAATACAGCTAACCAAGGTACTGAAAGATCTTTACAGGAACGATAAAACATTGCTGAAAAACATTAGACACAACACAAATAAATGAAAAATATTCCATGCTCATAGATTGGAAGAATCAATATCATAAACATGGCCACACTGCCCAAAGAAGTGTACAGATTCAATGCTATTCCTATCAAACTACCAATGTTATTCTTTGCAGAATTGGAAAAATGATTCTATTCATCTGGGAAAGGACTGCTATCCAGAATCTGCAAGGAACTCAAATAAATCATCAAGAAAAAAACCAAACAGTCTCAGAAAAATGTGGGCTAAGGACATGAATAGACAATTCTCAAAAGAAGATATACGAATGGCCACAAACATATGAAAAAATGCTCATCATCACAGAGTATCAGGGAAATGCAAATCGAAACCACAATGTGATGCCGTACTCCTGCAAGAATGGCCATAATTAAAAAAATAAAACAATAATAGATATTGGCATAGATGTAGTAAAAGGGAACACTTCTACACCACTGGTGGGAATGTAAACTAGTATAGCCACTATGGAAAACAATATGGAGATTCCTTAAAGGACTAAAAGTAGAACTACCATTTGATCCAGCAATCTCACTACTGTCTACCCAGAAGAAAAGAAGATATTTGCACACACGTTTATTGCAGCATAATTCACAATTGTGAAAATATGGAACCAGACTAAATGAAATGTCCATCAACCAATGAGTGGATAAAGAAAATTACACATACACACACACACACACACACCCATACACCCATGGAATACTACTCAGCCATAAAAAAACAAAATAATGGCATTTGCAGTAACCTGGATGGAGTTGGAGACCATTATTCTAAGTGAAGTAGCAGCTTTGGAATGGAAAACCAAACATCACATGTTCTCACTTATGAGTGGGAGCTAAGCTTGAGGACACAAAGGCATAAAAATGATACAGTGGACTTTGGGAAGTTTGAGTGAAGTGTGGGAGATGGGTGAGGATTAAAAGACTACACATTGGGTACAGTGTGCACTGCTCAGGTGATGGATTCACCAAAATCTCAGAAATCACCACTAAAGGACTTATTCATATAACCAAACACCACCTATTCCCCCAAAACTATTGAAATAATAATAATAAGAGTCAAAACCATAATTAAATTCATATGGAATGAAAAAAGAGGTTGTACAGTCAAAGTAATCCTAAGCAAAAAGAAAAAAGCTAGCGGCATCACACTGCCTGACTTCAAATTATACTGTAAAGCTACAGTAGCCAAAACAGTGTAGTACTGGTTCAAAAATGGACACATAGGTCAATAGAACAAAATAGAAAACTCAGAAATGAAGCCACACACCTACAGCCATCTGACCTTTAATAAGACTGACAAAAACAAGAAATAGGGCAAGGACTCTTCATTCCATAAATGGTGCTTGGATAACTGGCTAGATATATGCTGAAGATACTTTCACCATGTACAAAAATTAACTCAAAATGGATTAAAGATTTAAATGTGAGAGCTCAAACCATAAAAATCCAGAAGACAACCTAGGAAATACTCTTCTTGACATTGGCCTTGGCAAATAATTTTTGACTAAGTTTTCAAAAGCAATAACAAGAAAACAAAAAATAGACAAGTGGGACCTAATTAAAGAGCTTATGCACAGCAAAAGAAGCTATCCACAGAGTAAGCAGACAACCTACAAAATGGGAGAAGGTATTTGCAAACTATGCATCTCACAAAGGCCAAGTATCCAGAATCTATAGGGAACTTAAATTAACAAGCAAAAAACAAATAACCCGATTAAAAATGGGCACAGCACATGAACAAATACTTCTTTTTTTATTATTATGCTTTAAGTTCTGGGGTACATGTGCAGAACATGCAGGTTTGTTACATAGGTATACACATGCCATGGGAGAACATGTGGTATTTGGTTTTCTGTTCTTGTGTCTGTTTGCTGAGAATGATGGTTTCCAGCTTTATCCATGTCCCTGCAAAGGACATGAACTCATCCTTTGTTATGGCTGCATAGTATTCCATGGTGTATATGTGCCACATTTTCTTTATCTAGTCTATCCTCAGTGGGCATTTTGGTTGGTTCCAAGTCTTTGCTATTGTGAACAGTGCCACAATAAACATACATGTGCATGTGTCTTTATAATATAATTATTTATAATCCTTTGGGTATATACCCAGTAATGGGTTTACTGGGTCAAATCTATTTCTTGATCCTTGAGGAATTGCCACACTGTCTTCCATGATAGTTGAACTAATTATACTCCCACCAACAGTGTAAAAGTATTCCTATTTCTCTACATCCTCTCCAGCATCTGTTGTCTTCTGATTTTTTAATGATCGCCATTCTAATTGGCGTGAGATAGTATCTCAATGTGGTTTTGATTTGCATTTCTCTAATGACCAGTGATAATGAGCTTTTTTTCATATGTTTGTTGGCTACATAAATGTCTTCTTTTGGAAGTGTCTGTTCATATTCTTTGCCTAATTTTTGATGGGGTTATTTGTTTTTTTCTTGTAATTTTGTTTAAATTCTTTGTAGATTCTTGTTTTTAGCCCTTTGTCAGATGGGTAGATTGCAAAAAAGTTTTCCCTTTCTGTTGGTTGCTGGTTCACTCTAATGATAGTTTCTTTTGTTGTGTAGAAGCTCTTTAGTTTAATTAGATCCCATTTGTCTATTTTGGCTTTGGTTGCCAATGCTTTTGATATTTTAGTTATGAAGTCCTTGCCCATGCCTATGTCCTGAATGGTATTGCCTAGATTTTCTTTTAGGGTTTTTGGCATTTTAGTCATGAAGTGCTTGCCCATGACTATGTCCTGAATGGTATTGCCTAGATTTTCTTTTTGGGTTTTAATGGTGTTAGGTCTTATGTTTAAATCTGTAGTCCATCTGCAGTTAATTTTTGTATAAGGTGTAAGGAAGTGATCCAGTTTCAATTTTCTGCATATGGCTAGCCAGTTTTCCCAACACCATTTATTAGATAGGGAATCCTTTCCCCATTGTTTGTTTTTGTCAGGTTTGTCAAAGATCAGATTGTTGTAGATGTGTGGTGTTATCTCTGAGGCTTCTGTTCTGTTTCATTGGTTTATATCTCTGTTTTGATACTGGTACCATGCTGTTTTGGTTAATGTAGCCTTGTAGTATAGTTTGAAGTCAGGTAGCATGATGCCTCCAGCGTTTTTTTTTATTTTGGCTTAGGATTGTCTTGTCTATGTGGACTCTTTTTTGGTTCCATATGAAGTTTAAGGCAGTTTTTATAGATTCAATGCTATCCCCATCAAGCTACCATTGACTTTTTTCACAAACACTTCTTAAAAGAAGACGTATAAGCAGCCAATAAATGTATGAAAAAGCACCCAACATCACTAATCATCAGAGAAATGCAGATCAAAACCATAGTGAGATACCATTTCACACCAGTCAGAATGGCCATTATTAAAAAGTCAAAAAACAATAGGTGTTGGTGAGACTGTGGAGAAAAAGGAAATGTTTATACATTGTTGGTGGGGAGGTAAATTAGTTCAGCCACTGTGGAAAGCAGTCCGGAGATTTCTCAAAGGACTTAGCTACCATTCCACCCAGAAATCCCATTATTGGGTATATCTTAAAAGAAAATAAATCAGTTTACCAAAAAGTCAGGTGTACTTTTATGTTCATCACTGCACTATTCACAATAGCAAAGACATGGAATCAATCCGGGTACCCATCAGTGGCAGATTAGATTTTTAAAATGTGGCACATATATACCATGGAAAACTATGCAGCCATAAAAACAATGAAATTATGTCCTTTGCAGCAACATGGATGCAGTTGGAGGCCATAATCCTAAGTGAATTAATGTAGGAGCAGAAATCCAAATTCTGCATATTCTCACAAGTGGGAAGTAAATATTGAACACACATAGGCATAAATATGGGAACAATAGATACTGTGAACTCTTAGAGGGGAGAGGAGGGTGGGGAATGTGGGTTGAAAAACTACCGATCAGGTACTGTGCTCACTACCTGGGTGGTAGGATCTGTATCCTAAACCTTAGCATCATGCAGTATACCCATGTGACAAACCTGCAAATGTACCCCTTGTATCTAAAATAAAAGTTGGAAAAACAAATCAATGAGCTATATCTGATATATACTTATGATGTGCTGGAGGAAATACTAACTGATGTGGTCTTGCTTTGGGGAGTGAAGTGGGAGAGGCGTGAGCTTTGCATTCAGGGGTTCGGACATGAGACCCCACTTTATCACCTCCTAGCAGGTGTAATGTCTGACTCATGGTAGGGCTTGTTTTTTTGCCCAGAAAACTTAAGCCGTAACCTCTTTGGCTGTTCCTTCTCTGGGCAGGTCCTACATTCCCAGAAGTGGAAACCATCAAGGAACATGCTGCCTAATGGCTTTGGTATCTCAGTCCCATGTTTTCATCTAGTGGCAGGATTGACAGGTGAGACAGTGTGAATGTGTAGTTATGTAACACATTAATTTCATTGCCCTGACGAGAATCTGCAAGAAAAGAAAGGAGTTGTAATATTCGGAAGTTTTCAAACATGTAGGCTTGAATTTAAAATTTAAACAAATTATTCCCCCTTAAATATTAGTATTTTTATTTATCTCCTCTTTTTACTATTTTCAGGAGGTCTGGACCATGAGTATGGCAGTCTTGCAGGGCTGCCCTTTTTGATCAAAGTAGGCATATTTATCACCACCTTTCTAACTGTATCATCACACTTTCCTTTGCCATATTCATGGTTAGCCATGCTGTCCCCTTTTTGAAGAAACGAAGTGCACAGAACTCTTATTATGCTTCTGTGGTCAGAATCATGCAAGAATTACTTGCTTACTTTCATACATTTCATAGACACAATTTGATGTTAAACTGACCTTCTTTTTTTCCCCACTGTTCTTGTATATTTGGTTCTCATGTTTGGGGATGGCTACCTTTTCCATTGTTAAGATGGCTTATTTCTAAAAAACAACTTTAACTTAATCGTATTTGTTTATGTTACTGTTCCACTCAACATTTTCTCTTATACCTACTTCATCAGACTGTGATTAAAAGAGATAACACATGCAAAATGTCTGGAACAGACATTTTTGATAAATGTGTTTGATAAATGGTGTTTGATAAATGGTTGCTTTTGTTAATATTTACTGAAGGTCACAGAGCTAGCAAAAGGAGGAAGACATGAATAAAGTGTGTCAGACTCCAGGGCCCATTCTTTACCCATCTTGAACAGGATACATTCTCCCACAGGAAAAGGAAAGCCACATTTGCTCCTTGATACGGAATATTAATCTCTTTCAATTTTTTTTTTTTTTTTGAGATGGCGTCTCGCTTGGTCACCCAGGTCGGAGTGCAGTCTTGGCTCACTGCAACCTCCACCTCCCAGGTTCAAGAATTCTCCTGCCTCAGCTTCCTGAGTAGATGGGATGACAGACACCTACCACCATACCCAGTTAATTCTTGTATTTTTAGTAGAGACAGGGTTTTGCCATGTTGGCCAGGCTGTTCTTGAACTCCTGACCTTAGGTGACCTGCTCGGCTAGGTCTCCCAAAGTACTGGGATTATAGGCGTGAGCCACTGTGCCTGGCCGTCTCTTTCAAATTTTATTCCAGTTTACCTGATAAACAGCATCTCATGTGTGTATATCACAATACTATTTGTTTATTACTGTTTAATGTAGTTAAAACAATATTAATGTTTAGCTGAAATAAAAATGGGCTTGGTGTTCAATATAGTTCTCATTTCAATTCTGAACTATGACGTTTTACTTGTGCTGATTCCAAGGTTAAAAATTTAAACTCAGTTTAAATGTGAGTCTTCAGAAAGAGTTTCAGAAAATGTGCTTTATCCTGGGTTATCAGATGGTGTTTTGCCACCTTGGTTGCAAGTCCAGATGTGGCACCTTTGTTGAATGTAGTCTACGTTATGCTGTACAAACTCTGATCACTATAGTTAGTTGCCAGTGATCATTGCATTGATAACCATCTTGGGCTCCTCTGTAACTTATATTTAGAGTAGAAGTATGGTATAGCCTTAAAATAAACTTAAAAAAAATTTTTTTTTAATTTTAAATTTTAATTTTTTTACTTTAGGTACATGCTATAAGTCAATCTCTTTCTCTCTGCATGTCTTCCTCTCTCTCTCTTCTCTCTCTCTCTCTCTCTTTCTGTGTGCATGTGCATGTACACATATGTATACATAATTGTCTTAGTCCATTCAAGATGCTGTAACAAAATACTGTAGACAGGGTAATTTAGAAACAACAGACATTTATTGCTTATAGTCCTGGAGGCTGGGAAGTCTCATATCAAGGCACATAGATTCAGTGTCTGGTGAGGGCTTGCTTTCTGCCTCAGAGATGCCTTCCTTCTGTGTTCCTCCCATGGCAGAAGGAGATAACAAGCTCCCCTGGGCTTCTTTTTCATAAGGGCACTAATCCTATTCATGAGGGCTACACCCTGATGACCTAGTTACTTCCCAAAGACCCCACTTCTTAATACCAACACATGGTATTAAAGTGTTTGGGGATTAGATTTCAACCCATGAATTTTGGAGGGATACAAACATTCAGATTATAGCAATAATTGTTTGTATCACAAATTCACTTTCTGTGCTTTTACTTCTGGATACTAACTATATTTTATTGTACCTGGTGACATTATATCAAATGAAAAAAAAAGTAGAGGGTCATGGTAAGAATACACTGCTACAGTTTTGCATAATAAAATTGATAGTAAGTTCTCTTTTGATTAGGATTTCTTTTAAAGTTTTTGCATATTAAAATATTAATATGATTAGCTATATAGTTCTAAATAACATTACTAAAACAGATTGATGGTTTGTTTATATATATATATATATATATATATATATAGCAAATTAGCTAGCTCCACATTAGCTTGATATAATGATAAAGCTGGCAAATGAATCTGCGGGTGTGCAACACACTACAGAATGGACAAGGAGGATGGAAACAACTGCTGTCTAGTATTTTTCTGTACACATGTCTCGCAGGAAATTAGGAATAATAGTAAAAGGTATTGAGGTGTATTTGGAGGCACTTTGGGCACACATCTGGGTTCAAATCATTCTTGCTAGGTAACCAAATATCCTTGGACCTATCATCTAATCTTTCAGTCAGCCATTTTATCAGAATAGATACGATAGTACCTACTCTATATAGTTGCTGAGATGTGCTCAGTGACCATTGATTTTTCTTCCTGTTTTCCTTGTGGTTGGCTTTCAAGAGTGTGAATAGACATGAACATACAGCATCTTCTACTTTTAATCTGATTTGCTTATCTGAAAGGACAAAGGTGAGACTGTTCTGATCACCAAGACTAGAATCATCCTAGGAATAACTCTTCTGCTGTCACCTGCCCTGCTTTCCATGCTGTTCTTGCTGGAATAAAGTTACAGTTGCAAATGGTCTTCTTCCAGCTGTTTCCAAGGCATTACCTCGGGCAAAGATGGTTGAAGTGTGGGTATATATTCCCTATCCATCCTGGGGCTTGCTTGTGGCCAAGACAGTCATGCCAGCCAGTCAGGGACTCTTTCCTATGAAAGTTGGAAGGGTCTCCAGGGAGCCACTCCCTACTTAGCCTGAGTTGGCATTTAAGTCGTCCTGACTTTAAAATTCTATAGGAAAAAGCACACAAATTGGAACCCAAGGATCTTGACTCACAGATGATAACACAGATGTGTTTGCTTCTTTTTCAGACAAATATAGAGAAGATTAAATGTATTACTCGAGATCCTAAATTAATTGGAGAAACAGGATTAACATTTGGGGTTCTTGACTTCAAAATTAAGGCTCCTTTTAGTTTAGGCTTTGCTTCTGAAAATATTGTCTCCCTGTAAGTGGGTGGCTGCAAGAAACAGTGAGTTTGAAGTCTTTGCAGAATTATCCAACTACTGATTGGGTGACAACGGGGTGGGAGAGTTATGGGGGAATTCAAACATCAGCTGGCATGTTGAATTAAATGATCTTTAAGATGTCTTCTGGGCTCAGATTCTGAGATTCTCCTTACAGTGTCACTTAGGAATATAATTTCCTAAACATGAAATGTCTCAGGAAGTAAGTTCCACGTCTGGGACTCATTTGCAATTAGACATTCAAGACTCTAAATAACATTTGGGTTAATTAACTTTTGCCTGGTTTCATGAAACATATTTAGTACTTCTGACCATCTTAGTATATTGTGCTCCATATAAGATTGTTAGTAGATTTGTGAAAATTATAAAATTTGGAAAATAAGAATCACTATGAAAATGCTTAATATATTTTTTTAAAGTAAAGGAACTGCTAGATGCATGACACGCTATCATAATTATGTTTTGGTAGGGAAGAAATCTGATTTATCTGCATGCCCCTCTTAAACAAGATCTATAAAAAAGTTGACAATTTAAAATAATTCTAGAATACAAGATTTGAGAAGTGCACATCTGTCCATTTTTGACCACAATGGGTGTTAAATAGATTTTCAAGTTTTTTTTATGGGTATCAAAGTGATGTTCTTATTGAAACTTAAAAGCCATAGTGTGCCTCCCTTGTCTCCTATCCTCCCCCTTGCAGCGTTGTAAATCTAACTTCTGCCTGTCCTATTGTTCAGAAAAAAGCAGCCATATTGTGCTGATTGCTATTAAATTAAAGCAGAAAGGGAGAGACACAAATGTGGAAGCCCATCTTACCAGCAGGGATACCACTATCTTTTATTTTGCATTTTGGGAGGGTCAGAAAGTCATGACAGGCATCTGACCTCTGATAACCTCTTTGATGCTTCTGTGTGCAGTTTTTGGGGGAAGAACTTAATTAAATACAATTGAATTTCCCTGCTAACATTACCACTGAAAGGACTCCTTTTAGATGGCTCAGTGTTTGCTGGTGAGGAACAAACAAAGATGCTTCTTTTGTTCCTCAAAGAAAAGTTAGCATATGTTAGTTAAGGATTTGTGATTTCTTTTGACTAGACTGGCAGGTTCCTAAAAATTCAATGAGTCTTCTGAAATAGTAACCATGATAAAACATGAAATATGTGATTAACTAAAGTCTGAACTCTCTTTATTCATGGTAGTTATTACTAAGGTTAATCTTTTAAAGAGTTTAGTATGTTAATCTATACTTAAAAATTATGATCATTGATTTGTAATGAAATTGTTGATGTTTGGATACATCAAATATAACTTTTTCATCTCCTGATTTTTTAGCTACCAGAGGACAGGAAGAGTTACCAGCAGATGTGCTTTTGTGCTTTTAGCTAGGAGACAGTTAAAACAGGAGTTGACAAACAAATATACAGTTTTTGGTTTTCATCAATTTGTTGAAACTTTAAGAAGCTTGTCTATAAGCTATACGTCAATAAAATGCAGTAATCTATATAGTCAATAGGTTAAAAAAATTCATTTTCCCATTGTTACTCTTGGGCTTCTGAAATCAGTG